GGAATGACCTGCAGACAGCTGGGACCAAAGTAACAAAGGCTACCATCAGTAACACACTACACCGCCAGGGACTCAAATCCTGCAGTGCCAGCTGGGAAGACTGAATCTGCAATAGGCAAGCAGCGGGCGGTGTGTTTGGGATCATTGTCATGCTGAAAGACCCAGCCACGTTTCATCTTCAATGCCCTTGCTGATGGAAGGAGGTGTTCACTCAAAATCTCACAATACTTGTCCCCATTCTTTCTTTCCTTTGCACGTTCAAGTCGTCCTGGTCCCTTTGCAGAAAAACAGCCCCAAAGCATGATGTTTCCACCCCCATGCTTCACAGTAGGTATGGTGTTCTTTGGATGGGCGGTGTGTTTGGGATCATTGTCATGCTGAAAGACCCAGCCACGTTTCATCTTCAATGCCCTTGCTGATGGAAGGAGGTGTTCACTCAAAATCTCACAATACTTGTCCCCATTCTTTCTTTCCTTTGCACGTTCAAGTCGTCCTGGTCCCTTTGCAGAAAAACAGCCCCAAAGCATGATGTTTCCACCCCCATGCTTCACAGTAGGTATGGTGTTCTTTGGATGGGCGGTGTGTTTGGGATCATTGTCATGCTGAAAGACCCAGCCACGTTTCATCTTCAATGCCCTTGCTGATGGAAGGAGGTGTTCACTCAAAATCTCACAATACTTGTCCCCATTCTTTCTTTCCTTTGCACGTTCAAGTCGTCCTGGTCCCTTTGCAGAAAAACAGCCCCAAAGCATGATGTTTCCACCCCCATGCTTCACAGTAGGTATGGTGTTCTTTGGATGGGCGGTGTGTTTGGGATCATTGTCATGCTGAAAGACCCAGCCACGTTTCATCTTCAATGCCCTTGCTGATTGGCTGACTAAATACTTTTTTGCCCCACTGTATATACAGGGTGTACTAAAAGTCAGGCCCCATAGGTCAATCACAATATGTTTTATTAATTTATTAATTTTTTATTTCAGAGAAAATGTTACTGTAGTTAGGAATGTTCAAAGGTCATGCATCAAACAAGTAAGGAAGTATTTAAAACAAAATGGCAGCCAATTTGAACATTTAATGAAATTTATATAACAAACTGATACATCCTGTATATTTATACAGAAGGTTTTTTGCTAGCTACTTGCTTCTCCTGCAAGATGCTTTCAAGTGAGGTTTGCAGAAGTCACACTCAACTTCATCATTGAACTATCATTTCTATGGGCTCTTGCCTTACAGCTATAAAAAAAATGGTTATGCAGCTAACAGGTAGAAATGCTGGTGATAATACTATTCTCTCTCACATCCTAGTGCCCTCTGGATATGTTGGTTAATGCTTCTCATAATGCCTAGCAACATGGCCATTAGCTGTATAATCTATAAAATATTGACTTCATATGCTAACACATCTAAAGGGGTACCAGACTGGGGAAGTTTTAGAACAACCCTCCTGCCTCCCTCCTCTTTCCTGCCCACTGAGTTATATTCCAACCTCCATTTCTCTGGTGAGTTGGCAACTCATGGGTAATTTGATCCAGCTGGGATTCCGCCTCTGATCTGGCCTGTGGAGTAGTCACCATGGCTCCTGTCTGCTGGATGAACTGTTGTAAATTACATTGCCTCAGTTCCTTATTCAGTTCCTCCAGCTCTTGGTTCTGGGCCTGAAAGACAGAGGAGGAACAGGCAGAGTAAACTCCAAATCTTATCTTTATCTGAAATAATAATCTGAAATAATTTCCCTGAAATTGCAGGGAACAAAAGGCTTCTATCTCACCTAATCTCCACCCAAAGTTTAACTTTGTTCCTCAACAATATACTAGTAGTAGTAGTAATCTATTAGAATCTTCAAGCCAGGGGTAAATGGTATCGAGACATGCATATCCGACACATACATTTCAAAAGCTGAGGAGAAAATTGTCTCCTTTATTATGGAATCCATTACAATGGAGTTATATTAACTGGCAGCCCAGAGTCTGGTATTTATTTGTGTTGGTGTTTATTGAAGGTGGTGGGTAGAAGTGGAGATCCATCCAATAGCTCAAGGCAATTTATGTTAGTAAGATATCAAAAAGCACATAATCTCAAGATCTGCCCTCTTCCAGTCAAACACACTTCGCATTCTTCCAGTGCTCCTTTTTCAGGATGAAAAATGTAGGATGGAGGCACTTCCTACTACAAACAGCTAGAAGAGGAGACCTTCTAGAAGAATCTTTAACCCTCCAGGACTCCAAAATGTCCTTTTGGCACATGGAATGTAGCCAAAGATAGTCTTGCCCATCTCACATTACATTACACTAGTCAGTCTTTGGGTGCTTTCCCCATTCCAGGATTTTTATTAAGATCAGCTGCTATAAACCTTTTCTCTTTACAAAATGGAGAAGAAGAGAAGACCTATATCTGGGCTATCACACAAGAATAATTCAGTGGACAATGCTAGTTATTCTACCAATTAACTAGAGAAGGAGAGATGCTGGGAGGAGGGCATATCAGTGCATATAAAGACATGCTTTACAGAAAGATACTATGCTTCCAATGTAGTTCCCATGTTAAAAAATAAAAATAAAAATCCAGGCATCTGAGAACCAGCAACATTTCAGTAGGTCTAGGCAATGAGCCACAACAAATTAAGAAGTTATCTGGACACAAACATCTTTGTTTCATAACTCTGCATCCAGTGGAACTAAGCACCCATAATATATGTTATTGCCTGTAAATAATACTGAACATTCCCTCTAAATAATATTAAGTAAATTACAAGCACATTATAGCTGTGCAGAGAATGAAGTATGATCCAGGGTTGCAAACAGAGAATTTCAGTTTAAACATACAGCCCACTTTTGCATCCTCTAACCAGTCACAAGTCGTTAAGATCTTTTACAGATAAGGGACATAATAAATTAATAGAGATGCCACACTGAATGAGTCTTGGAAGAAGCAAGGAGGGAGATAGTAGCTAGTCATCATGTGTGCATTCTTACGGAGTTTCTTTAGTCAGCCCCCAATCAAGAGAAGTCCAACAGGATAGCATATTTACACCAGTCATATTATGAGGAATGAACATAAACTATATGGGACAAAAAGAAAAAGGAATAAATAATTCTTTATTATTTATTCTGGGAATAAAGAATTGTCTTGAGTCTCTCAATGACCCAGTGCAGTGTACTTAGCAGTTACTTGTTACGTTCACCAAGAATGGAAATCTTCAGGATGTTTCCTTGATCACAGAACTGCAAACAACAAGACGTGTATCAAAGAAGCCAAATTATGGGTATGGCAGATTTGGAATACACCCAATGCTTCAATCTTTATACTTACTGAAAATAAATCCATTTACAAGCGTTGGTTTATGCCTGGCCAGCCTATTATACTTGTGCTATTACATTCTTGTATGTCTCATTATACCATAAAATGAAAAGCAAGTTGATCTTTCAAGACAACTTGAAAGGATAAGTTCATCTACTTCGCAGAATTTCTAGCCAGTATAGACAATAAATGTGCTGGCTGAGAATACTGGGCATTGTAGTGCCACCACATCAGAAGGGTACCAAAATGGGGAAGGCAAAATTAGCTTACCATGTGCAATTCATGAAAGCTAGCTATCGTCCCTCTCCCCAGATCTCAGAGGACATAAAAGTAGCCAGAATTGTTTTAACAGTCACTTAACGTTTCATGATAGGATAGCTTCACGGAGCCACACAGCATATGTACGGGGTGCAGGGGAGAGGAAATGAAATGAATATCCAGCTTAAATTAAATATGCAGTTTGGGCATTATGTTGATTTGCAATGTTTTTGCTCAGATCACATTATTGCATACTTGAACATAATTTTAAGGTGGTTCCCAAAGAGAGATACTGTAGGCATCTAATTCTGCTTCTCAGTACTGTCACCTCTGAATGGAATAAAACATGTGTAGCACAGATGCAGTATGGAATATCTGCCCCCAACAGTCATAAGAAGCAGGCAAAATCAGAGGAGTGAATCCTGAATACATCACAGTGAAGGACAATGCTTTGGATTCACACATGGATTGCTAATCCGTCCTGGCTCTGGTAAGAAAACGGACATTAGCTCTAAGCACAAACCTGCAGGCTGTACTCTGCTTCCTCCAAGGCCTTCCCCACTGTTTCCAGGCTGCTCTCAAGTTGGGCACTTTGCTTGGTCTTGGCTTCCAAGTCTCTCTTCATTTTAGCTGCCATCCCCTCCAGCTCAGTAGGACTCGGGGTAGGAGTTTCCTTGGCCCTCTTGGCTCTCTCAGCAATTTCCCACTGGATTTCTCTTTCCAAGGTCTCTGTTTTCACCATAAGCTCATGGATTTTTTTTGTGTACTCCTCCATTGTGACCCTCAGGCTGTGTACTTTCTCCCGCCGCTCCCTTTCATGTTCTTTTTCTGATTGTAGTTCACTCTGCCAAAATTCTTCTTCACTTAGCTGGCTCTCATTTTGCCGGATCAGCTGCTCCAGCTGCAGGATTTCATCCTCCCTGTAAGAACCTTGGCTGCATTCCCAATGCCTGATGTCCATTTCCAAGGCATCACCCTGCATCTCCAAGGTGCAGAGATGCTCCTGTTGGTGTAGGACAGTCTTGAATAGCTCCTCTTTGGAAAGTAACCCCCCACTGGCTCCGTCTCTCACACACATTGGGTCCTTTTTGTGCTGCCTCACCTTGTTCTTGGCACATGCATCATTTGAACTCATAGGACCCAAGTTGAATGTTAAAGATTTTTTGGGTTGCCTGGCTCTAGGTACTTCTGTGCTGAGTGGTCTAGGTTTAATAGGCAAGCTAGCCCTGACAAATGTCCTCTCAGGTATCTGAGGGGCACTGTCTGAAGAAGGCCTCTCTATGAGGCTGGGACCAGTACGCTGCAATATAAATTGCACATCCTGGGCATACTGGCCACACTTGGATAGAGACTCTACAGGACATTCATGTGGGAGAAGCTGTCTCTCCTTCTCACGTAGTCTTTGGATGAGAACATAGCGACCGGTTTGACCTGAGAAGACAGACAGACATCATGAGGAAAATATTTCTTTAGTACAAAAACACCAGTAACCTTCTTTTTTCCTTCAGTACAACCTTCATGTACTATTGTTACAAAAGGACTTTGGAAAAATGTCACATGTAAATACAAACTAAGTGCATTACTTTCACCTGTGCCCTAAACGTTCACTACCATATAACTAAATGGAAAAAAGCATGCTCTTATATACACCATTTTTGCTGCTTTCAACAAATATTCATTCTTCACAACAGACGGCATATTAGCCACTATTTTTCTATCAGTATTTTCAGGTCTTAAACATTTCTCAATTTTTCCATCTTTAGTAAACATCCTACCACGTAATAAATTCAAATTCTTGCTCTATTTTTCACCATTCATGTATCACTTCCAACTATTCACTCCAATGATTAACTTGGTCTTTGATACAGGAAGTTTCCCATTTATTTTCATGTGTGCTTTATTTCCATCATACATCACTCTTATTGCATCCAACAATCAACCTTTGATGCCATATTCATATAAAACATTTTTTTTTTACATTTTTATTGTATGCTTTCTTTAAATGAACAAACATGCAATAAACTTCCTTTCTCACATTCATATGTTTCTCAATGACCTGCCAAAGGGCAAAATCTGATCTGCATACCCGTTGCCTGGGATATACCCAAACAGCACTTGCCAAATTTTGCTCATTGTCAATTTCTCATACTGTTTTGGTCAGAATTCTGCCAAACACCTTCACAAGCATGCTTAACATACTAATCCTTCTGTAGTTTTTGTATTTTCTCTTCCTGCCTTCTCTTTGCATAGGGGAACAATAACAGCATTCTAGCAATTGTAAGGCAAATACAAGCTTCAGAAATATTAACCAAATTGCTCAGCCACTCCACAAGCAAACCACATTCATATTTTAACATTTCCCCACTTATACACCTGCAACTTTACAAATTTTCAACATTCTAACACTTCTTTTTTCATCATTTTTTCATAGATTTCTCTGCCTATTTAATCTTAACCTGACTATATTCTCTTTTCTACCTCTTCTATCTCTTTCCTCTACATATGTATTATCTAATAACTTTCTCTCATCCTCATTTATAGCAGCAATTGTTCTCTTATATAGATTTTTATCATCCACAGTTTCTTTCACTTTATTCCACTATGTGTCTTTTTTCATACTCCTTATTAGCATTAACTCTTTACATTGGGATTCTGTAATATGATTCTTTTCACTCTCTCCAAGCAGCCTCCACATCCTTTTTTATTACAGATAGTCCTGGTTTAACAATGCTAATTGGGACCAGAAACTTCATTGTTAATGACACGGTCATAAGTTGAAAAACCATGTGATTATGCTGCTTACAATGGCAGTTCTGGCAGTCCCAGTTGCCATCATTAAATGAGGACCACATGGGTCATTAAGCAAGGACCCCAAGCAACCACAACTTCCGACTTCCTGCTGACTTTCCCCATTGACTGTGGGAAGCTAGCAGGGAAGGTCACAAATTGTGATCATGTGACCATTGGGATGCTATGCCGTCCGTAAATAGAAGATCTGGTCATAACTACCACTCGTTCAGTGCTGCCATAAGTTGGAATGGTTGCTGAACAAGTGGTTCACCTGTACTTCGACTCTCCATTAATTCGGTTTAGAATTTAATCTGTATTTTCCTCAGTGGACTCCATTTTTTTCTTTCTGCCGTCATTTCTACAGAACAGTCTAGTTTTTTTCCCTTCCTTTTATGCCTATCCCCCTCCCACCAGATCTTCTCCTGACTGTATGAATAGTGGTCTGTCTCACATTCAACAGCCTCTCATCACCTTCTCTCAAAGTTTCATTAAAATCAACCACCTTAATCTTGCTTCAAGATGCTTTCCTTTACCCTATGAATACATGAAAAGACTTATGCTTAAACCATGTATTTAAAACAAACAGCCCTTCTTCCAACCAGTTATTCATAATCATTCCCATTCATTCTTGGTCACCACTAATCACTTTTTTTTCCTGTACTCTCCTCTCATTTCCACACTTCCATTTATGCCATCTAACAAAGAAAAGCCCACCCCGCTCCAACTGCATTCATTCAGAATGATGCAATTTTTCCCTTAAAACTCATCGCTAGTTCTTAGCATAACATAAAAACTATCACCAACCCATGAATTCCTACCTTTATATCCACCCAAACCAATCTAGATAATACCAGTCATACCTTCTGATACTCATTTTTGCCTTTCATTCATAATTAAATCTACATCTTCACTTCTATGCATGCATTCATCAATTCCACTCCACAAGATCAGAATACCTTCATACAGATCTATTCCATCCTTTCCCTTTCAGTTAATTTCACAAACTCACAAGGTATTTAAAAAAAATTTCATTTGTCAACTCAGGTTCTTTATCTTAAACTTTAAATTCCTTTTACATTCCAAGTTGTAATCATCCATATACCATAGTCATTGCATACTGACCTCTGACATTGTCTTCCTGGCTTTGACATAATGCTTTTTACTAAGATAAAGGAAGTGTAGTCTAGGTGACCAGCTTTAGTTATACTCATGCCACATGCAGTGTTCCTTGTTTGTATTATGAACAATATCAGTCAGTTTTGGCATATTTTGGCCAACATGCTATGAGCACAACCAAAGCCCAGTTTTACCCTAGGTCTGGCATGATCACACCGTTCAGTGCAAGCTAGAATTCTAATCTAGAGACTATCTTGCAAGTCAACATAATGTCACACCCCCCCCCCACCGTAGATTTCTTCCTGTTGCCAAGTCCATCACTTTTCCCACACGGTCACAAGGGTGCTGCAAGTCAAGGAAGATGCAATATAAGAGAGGAGAAATAAAAGAGGAAAGATTTCATAGCATAAAAGCATACTCTGTGAAAACAAACCTTTACTAGTAAAATCAGTTAAAGATGGAGCAGAGAAACAATTACTACACCAGCAAAACAGAGTATTTGAAATAAAAAAATAAATAATAAAGCTTGGCAATAATAATTTATAACAGTGTTTCTCAACCTTGGCAACTTTAAGATGTGTAGACTTGAACCTGCAGAATTCCCCAGCCAGAATTCTGGGAGTTGGAGTCCACATGTCTTAAAATTGCCAAGGTTGAAAAACATTGCTTTAGAAGAAGTGTTGACAAAGTCTACATTGCACTGTGAAAAAAAACCCTAATCATTCAAGTTGCTGTATTTATGCAACTATCAATTGTTTACATAAACAATCCTCTTTTCTCTAACAGATGAATACAGGTAGTCCTTGCTTAATGACCGTTCAGAGATGGTTCAAAGCTACGATGGCCTCAGAAAAACTGCTTTACAACCTGTACTTGCATTTTTGACCATCGCAAACCATCATACCACCCTGCAGATACATGACTGCAATTAGGGCACTTGGCAACCAGCTCACATTTGCAACCAGTTGGAGCATCCTGCGGTCACTTGATCATGATTTGTGACCTTTTTTGCCTGTTTTTCAGGAAGCTGGATTTGCTTAACAACCACGTGATTCACTTAACAACCATGTGTTCACTTTACAACTGTCATAAAATGGTCATAAAATTGAGTCTGGTCATGTAGTGACTTGCTTAACAACTGCCCTGCTTAATGACCAATTTTCCAGTCCCTATTGTGGTCGTTAAGTGAGGACTTGTATCACGTGAATAAAGCATTATTTTGCTAATAAGTTTTTAGAAAGAATTTTGGACAGGGAGATTAGTCTGCAGTTCTATATACACTTGCCTTGGAAGTAAATCTCTTCAGCAGTACATGTTTCTAAGTAAGCATGCTTAGGACTGGGCTGCACAAATTCTTTTAAACCTCATGAATACAAAAATTACTTACCAATGGCCCGTGCCAGTGCTATGACAACTTCCTGGCATGTCGTCTGATCTGAAACGCCACATACAACCCGCTGGACTCCATCCACCCAGACCTTCAGCTCCATCACAAAAGGGTAGAGGATTAAATCTTCTGGCTCATTGCTGTGATTGTCTTCTACAAAAACAGGTTTTTTACAAAACAGAAATGTAAGTACAGTATGTTGTTCGATTTCATTCACATATAAGCAGTGTGGAGCAAGGAACCTTAGAAGCAAAGCTTTGGAATGCTTTGACATGTCTTCTTTCTGTACTCCAAATTTCTAGCCCTCTTGCTCCAACGGTTTTTGGTTGAGCACTAGTAGATGTTTGTGGTTCAAATGAAGGGATTAGCCAAAAAATAAAAAATAAAAATCTTTTTCAGTTTCACAGCTTCACAGATCTTCTAGCCATTACTCCAAAATGTTACATAATATAAATATGAAAGTTCAGTACTCTAAATAGGCCAGCAATTTCTGACTACAGTCTTTAGAAACCAATCCAGTTATGTTACTAGCTACAATTATGCTAGTTTTGCTCGTGCTTGAATTCTCAAAGACAAAACTGCATTAGGGCCTTACGTCAGTGAAGAGTACTGTACAATGTAGTTCTATTTTTTAATCATTATGTCATTGCAATAATGAGCATTACAAGTTACCAGCATGCCACCAACAAGCATGAAAGCACTGAAATGAAATAAATTGTGCTCAGGTTAAGAGGCAGCCAGCAAGCAGTGGAGCTATGGTCAACTAAACACATAGGGATATATACTGGATTCAACTTCTATTTACTGTTGATTAGTATATATGTATGCTAAGTATGCGACTACATGCAATGTCATACAACACAGCACATAAACCACTGAAGGCATACACCTAGAATATGACAGACAACTAACATGCATCTGCCTCAGTTTACATGCTATTAATTGCCAGAAATAGGTGTTGGACAAAGTATGGACAATTAATTAGCACAGAGATTAGTGAAAACTACTATGCCACTTCCATTCTCTTTAAACATTGAATAAAATGGTATTCAACCCTAACAGTAATGCAATGCTTTTCACATTTACTTAAAGCCTTGGAAGAAAAACGGATAATTCAGTTCTTTACCATTCCAGATAAACCGGGGGGAGGAAGAGAGAGAAACAGATCCATTCTAACATGAAATTTATAAACAGCTAAAAATTAATACAAGACAATCCAGAAAGCATTTCTGTGCTTTCTCCACATTTCTTTCTTCCAATTTTAATCAAATATAATTGGTTAACAGTATTCCAATAGCTCAAATAACAAAAACAAACATTTCATAGATTTGATTTTGAATAATGCAAATATAGTGTAAATTAATCAACCATCAAAACTGAAAATAATGAAGAGCTGGGATTTCTGGGCTGATTATCAGCTTGTTGGAATCTAGACCTGACCAGGAAGACAATGCCACACCTGAAAAATGTTTCTCCCAACTAGATTAACATGCAGGAAATATATAACCTGAAAAAGGAAGAAAACAAACAAAACAAGAACAGAACAGACATGCATACACAATGGCTGCAACATGCTGAAAATGCTTTTTATACAGCACTGTTTATATATTTCAGCTTTTTCTCACTTACTTCAAGAACCAAGATTTAAGCACTTGGTCTCTGTCTAACATAAATGGAGAACTGTTGCACTGAGGAGCAGAATAACTGAAAACTTTGTCTATAAAACTGACAATTTTCTGCATAAAATAATCCTTCTTTAAGGATTTCCAGGGTCTAAGAACAAATAAATGTAATTAAGTGTACATATTTGCCTTATTTATGGAGAGGAAATAATAAGCAAAATATTTTGAGGGGTGTACAAAATATTTTAAATTTGAAACATCTCAAAATACTCTTTACATTTGAAATGCTGTGTTTTGAATTCAAAACAGCTATTCTGATCTTGCCAGAAGTATTTTTATATTATTTTGCACCCAAAACTCTTCTGTAATATTCCTGAATGTTGGATATAGATAACATCAGAATGAACTACCTTATAACCTATGGATGAAATTAATTCATCAGAAAATCTTGTTTCATCTCTATAAGACTCCCAAAAGTACAGTATATTTTAAAAAGGATGGTTATCAATTTTTCATGTTGGCAGTGTGAGAAGTTTGAGGACTCTCTGACTTATGATCTGTTCTGTTATGGTTCTCTTTTGGTTTCAAGTCATCACTTCTGTTAATACAACTATGGCAAAAAAACCCTTAATGTTTAAAGATGTAAATGTAATGTTCCCAAAATGTGGAATCTGCCTCTTTATGAAGAACTCTGGTCATAACAAGCCTGAGGTTCACCACAGAGAATTATTCTACATAGGTGGAAAGAAAACTACACTCCGGATGTTAAAGAGTGGATTCAAGAGATGGTTCTTTGTTTATTTTTGAAACTGTTTATACTGTAAAAATGAGAAGATAGTGAAGTATGTTTCTATGTGGTTCAAATGTAATAATATGTAAAGAAATTAGCTAGTTGAATATTAGTATTTTATTAATATATACAGATCTTCCCTTTTTAAAGTTTTAGTAGATTTTAACACCATTGCCTATTTTATTGTATTACCAGTACTTATTTTTATTAATCTCACTATAATATATAATGAACAATACAAAAAACAAAACAGTATGGACTACCATACCATCTACTCTTTAGTACTCAGATGGGCTGTAATAATTGCTGCTGTGTATACTGGGACTAGAGAGCAAGTTTGGTGTAGTGGTTGAGGCATCAGCCTAGAAATCGGGAGACTGTAAGTTCTAATCCCACCTAGGCACAAAGCCTGTTGAATGACCTTGGACCAGTCACACTCTCTCAGCCCTAGGAACGAGGCAGTGGCAAACCACTTCTGAAAAACTTTTCAAGAAAACTGCAGGGACTTGTCCAGGCAGTCTCCGAGAACCAGACATGATTGAATAAATAAATAAAATATAAATAAATAAATAAAAATAATATTGGGACTAGCAACCATGGTTATTGTGTTGTTATTGTTTTACTGGCTATTTTTTTTGTTTTATCTTTGTAATTTTATTTTATTTTTGTTTTACCTGCTTATAAACTGTCACAAATCAATCTGATTTAGTGGCATATACCTATTATCAATAAATAAGTGGGAGTTGGAGATATAGTATTTGAGGTCCTATTGTTTTCTTAAGCTTTGAGTCTTTCTGATTTGGCAGCCATACAAGTCAAATAAATAAAGAATGAAGTGTTTTGTCCCATGGAAACATAGCCAAGTTAGAACCTTCCAATGGAATATTTTCATGGGGCTGTTTTGTTTTGAGTGCCAAGTGAAATATGTTCCCCATTTTTGCACACTTCTATTAGCACAGACATTTCCAAAATTGTCCTTTTCAGGGATATATCTTTAAACAGCATGTGTATTTGATAGTCCCTCAAACAGAGGAACATTACAGAGGAGTATGTCACATTACACTCTTATCTAATGGGTGAGAACACTGCAATTGCAGGATGCTGATATCTGGCATTATGGGCAAAGTCTAGAGGCACAGCCTAGTAGGGAGGCAATCAGGCTTGGCCAACATACTTGAGACTCAAATGAACCATAAACAAAAAAGCAGACAGAAGTAGTGAAACAACAAAATAAAACAAAAACATATCTAATAAACAAGTATGGACTATTATATAGAGAGCATCAATATGATTTTAAAACAGAGCAAAAATAAATGTTACTCAAATCAATGGCAAAAAATCCTTAAACTAAAATATTGACAAAAGAACTTCTGATCATAAGAATGATGTTTTTCCCCCGAGCTTTCCCTCTGAATTTGAAATTAATGAATATTGTGTATTACAGAATAAAAAGTAGTAATAGAATCCCAGCACTTCAGAAATTACATACTATTCTTCACTACAAACTATTGGCTATGAACTATTAGAGAACACAGGCATTCTTTTCCTCTCCACTGAATAATCCCCACCCAACAATTCTTCATGAAAAATCCCCATTCCCAATTGAGCTGCCTCTATATGCTGTTAGAGAGAACTTCTTGACTTTGAGTTTTTATTAAGAATAAATAAGGCTCAGTCTGTGTTTTTATTTTCAGTTCCAGAGCTATGTCCTAGAATGTGAGAGTGTACTCACTACCTATCTGCACACTTAGAAACCAAAGCTAGCTCATCATACATACTGTAACAACTATGATTTTTAATAAAATAACTGAATGATGCTGCAAATCACGATGGGAGATAATTTAAAATCTTGTAGATAGACCATTTCTCATACAAATTCCCTAATAAAAAGTTTTTATGATAGGTCGTTATCAATTAGGCTGAAACTCTTGACATACATGAGTCAGCCCAGCTGGGGACTTCTTTGGACCTTAAACTTAACCAACCTTGTGCCAATCCTAAAATATAGGAAGTAACTATGCAGTCATCTAGATTTACATGTGAGGAATAAAAGCTGAATTCCATCTATGCTTTATCAGATGCTTTAGCAAGCTCAATTATATCAAAACTAGAGTTTGTAACAGTTTCTTCTCAAATTTCCTCACATTTAGTGGTCAAATTCTTAATGTTCTCTCCATATCACTTTTTTAAAATAATTAGTCAACACAGACCAAATGGTCCCTTTTTCTTTTTTTGCTTTGTTATTTATATTCTTATTTATGATGCCAAATACAACTTTTCCCTCCACCCACAGGTGAAGACATTGTGTGGAAGGTTGAGCCAAACACTTCTGAACCCATACACGGGGAGATAGATACCACTGTTAACATCAAGTTCTATGATAATTTTCATTTTCTGAATTTAAATATTTCTGTAAAGCTTGTCATGTACAACATATCCAGGCAGTGTCCAGTAATAACAGTTCTGTAAATATACTTTATAAATAACACCTTGGTTAAAATTGATCAAATATCAAGGCAAAGAACTTCTAACGTGTGCCAAAAATGCTTCATACAGCAATTGACCCTACACACAGCAGAACATTGAATCCCATACTGTACAACACTAGAAGCAAGAAATACAATGTTCTGGACTTAGATAGGAAAAGCCAGATACACAGGTACAAAGTAGGTGGTATGTGACTCAGCAGTAGTACTTGTGAGCAGGATTGTGCATCCTGGTAGGCCACAGATTAAGCATGA